AGATGTTTTTGCATTAGAAGCCTCATTTGTTGGGCTTACTCGAATAAATCAATTAATCTCATGGTGTAAACCCCATAGTTGGAGGCTTTTTTTTCAAAAACCTCTATGTTTTTCATGGTGACATCATGACCACCACCAGCATCACTCTCCACGAGAGGACCCGTGTGAAGGAGCAGGTGGCGGGACGCACAGGTGCCTCATGGGAAGATCGTTTGCAGCAGCAGAAGGCCGTGAAGGTTCAGGCGATGAAGATGATCGAGAAGGTCGACTTCGAGGGCATGGGGCCAGGGCAGAAATGCTTGGAAATATAGCCTATATATGTATATATATATAGATGTATGTATATATATATATACAAATTTATATAGATACTATGTATCTCTATATAATATGTATACATATACTGCAAGGGTCCATCATATTGAAGCTTCAAGTGTGACCGTTTTTGGGGCTCTCAAACCAGCCCCATTTATGTTGCAGTCCCAAGACAGCATCAGACTTGTGGACACATGCTTCGACGCAGCCTTTTTCAGACTCACAGATATTGCTGCTTCGCAGTTCAGTCAACATGTCTGACACAGCAAATGATGAAAGCGCAACTGGCAATGGTGCAGACGGAAGACCTGATGGCGCGGCTGTGCCAGTGCGCGCAGCTGTGCCAGATCAGCTGCCCGGCTTGCGTGCTGAAAGGCAGGTTTTAAAGCAGCAGCTGAAGGCCGCCACAAAGCAGATATGGAATGAGGTCAGGTGTGTGCATGTGTGCAAAAATCAGCCGTAGGTGTGACAAAGGCACCCGGTTTCATTCATATGTTCGAAATTTTGCAATCAATCTTGGATTCCAGCTTGCCATTGGTCCCAGTTTTCGTGGTGGGCGCAGTATTTGGTAAGCCCTTAAATGCATTTCTCGTGGCAGGCGCAGTATTTGGTGAACCTCTGGTCCCACTTCTCGTGGGGGGCGCAGTATTTGGTAAACCCCTAATTCCATTTTTCGTGGCAGGCGCAATAGTTGGTGAACCTCTGGTCCCAGTTTTCGTGGCAGGCGCAATACTTGGTAAGCCCCTAATTGCTCTTTTCGTGGCAGGCGCAGTATTTGGTGAGCCTCTGGTCCGAGTTTTCGTGGCAGGCGTGGGACAAACGCCGAAATCGTAACGTTGGATTCCAACGTTATGCTTGTTTTTCGTGGCAGGTGTGGGACAAAAGTCGAAATCGTAACATTGGATGCGGCCAAAAAAAGAATATTATATTCTATTTCAAACCGCGTTCCAACGTTATGATTTCCACTTTTTTGTGAAACTGTTGCCAAAAACGGATCGTAACGTTGGATTCCAACGTTATGATTTTGGTTTTCGTGCGGGGAGTGCTTCGATTTTGGCCGCGCATGCTTTCCTAGCAAATCGTAAATCGCATTGGAACTGGCCATCTCATGCTGAGTCCAGGAATGCTTCGATTGTCTTTTTCGTGGCAGGCGCAGTAATTGGTGAACCTGTGTTTCCCATTTCCCTGCAAGAGTTGTCTACAAAGAAGTGCAATTTCCTGCAAGCTTTGTCAGTAAACAAGTCGTACTTGAAGGTAACGTTCCTGCAATCTTTGGTGTACAAAGTAGTACTCAAGGTAGTAAGTTTCCGCAATCTTTTGTATTACAGAGTAGTACTGGGAAAGTTATTTTCTTTTTATCGTTCCTGGCAAGCTTTGTTTTACCAAGTTATGTAAGCTGGGAAGTACGTTTTCTGCAAGCTTTGAAGTATTTCTGGCCAGTGGAATATTTCACGCCCAACCACAAGGGTGCCATCGACAGACGCACAGTCCGGGTGGAGTGTTCGAAGAAGGTGTTCAAGTCCGAGGACCGGCTGGCCCATGCAAAACGGAACGTTACAAACTGCAAAACGGAACGTTACAAACGGCCATCCAAAGGAGGCCAACAGCATAATCATGTTCCTGTTTTGTTTTGAATGCGATGTTGTCAAACATGGTTGAAATTCATACTAAGCGATGTCTGCCACTAGTGCTTGTTTGGGACCTTCTGCCGCCTTTGGAGGGGCGTTTCCAATGGTATTGTTTTCAGTGGGGTGTGAGTGTCGCCAGATTGTTCTTCGAGCTTTTCGGGTGAAAATTTTCCTGCTTCAGCCGAATCTGGCGCAGCTGCTGCGAGCAAGAACACTCCTGATGGAAATCTTCCCTGCTTCTTTCGCAACTTGCGCAGGGTGCTGCATTGCATGAACCTCTCAATGCCCATGGCCGTGTGATGAGGAGATTGAGGCAATGAGGACGATGCCTTTGAATTTTTCGTTGCGACTTTTGCGGGCCCAAAAAAGAGAGCTTCATGTTTGTGTGCAGAGAAGCACCCATTACCTTGAAGATGCATCCCTTTTCGGTTTTTGTGATTGGCCCAGCAGGAGTTGTAACCCCATGTTGACTAAGCGCATTGTCCAGACAATCCAATATACGCTCCATCTTTGCTCGTCGCAGGATGCTGCTGAAGGCGTGATGTCATTGCTGGTCAGTCAATTTGCGCGGGCCAAAAAATGAGACCGCTTTCTGTGCTGCTTTGAGGCTTCCGAAGTATGGCCCCCAGGTGTGTGTGTGTGTGTCGCTCGCCGCTTTTGTCAATTTGTCTTGGAAGGAGTTTTTGGAGACCCAGCCATGCTTGCCGTAATATCTGGGCGGGAGAGTGTGACCACTAATCTGGGCAAATTTTGTTTATTTCAGTCAATAAGGTGTTCACAACGCATGGCTCCCTATAGGGTCAACTGTTTTGGTCGTAAAAAAAAGAGGTAGCTGAAAACAAAGCGTGATTCTTTATTCTGCTTCGCTGACATTTGGCTATACCCTCTTAGCGAAGGGGTTTCTGTCATGTCCATGAGAGGCTGTGTCAAGAATGCGCAGGAAAACACACAGGCATGATCTATATGATGTTAACTTGTACTTTCTAGTACTTTCATGTCTACGCAAGTGTGGCAAGGGTATATATACACATGGAAACTTGCTAAAAGCTGTGGCCGGGCGCGGCCAAAGGCACGCCATGGCAGCAGCGGAGCGTTGTGAGGCATTGAAAGCTTCTTTGCATGAAGACAGGTTGCGCTTGCGGAGTTGTGAGCAAGCTGCACGGCGCAACAAGCTGCGCTTGGAACATGGGGGGTTATCAGTGACAGCTGTCAAAAGGGTGCTGGCAGTGTACATGCTTTCTTCGTGGGATCTGGCGACGGCGGAGGAAGCTGCAAGACATTTGTCAACGTTACCCCCAGCAGATGTGAATTTCCCCAGCAAGACTTTGGTTCGGCAACTGTTTTTGGATATTGATTTAGACGATCTTCTTTGCATGCATGACGAAGCCAACATGGCTTGGGCAAGGGCTCTGAAATTTGCTCGCGTCTTCCTTGGGGAACAGGAGGTTTGGCGTTGGGTTCATGCACAGAACCTTGCCAACGGCGTGGCTCCGTGTGCAGCAGAAGTGTTTAGCCGCTTTGAATCCTGCAATGCCTGTAAGATTCCAAGTGGGCGGCCTCATAAACGAACTGTGAACAAATGGGTTGCTCGATGGCGTGCTCGTTGGGCCGTGCGACGGGGGCGCTTGCGGCCGACTGACCAAATCAATCCGGAAGACTTGCAGCAGAAGGCCTGCAAACTGTGAATGTCAGGTCCTATTTTTGGGACCGCCTGGGGGTCTCGAATTGTGGTCTTGTTTAAGTGGGGGGAGCAATTTTGGGGCCCAAAAACGGTCTCAATTTTGGGGCCGAATTTGGAAACAATTTTGCCTTTTTTGGTGAGACTTCATTGCAAGATGTTTCCGACCATGGCAGATCAATGTCTTCTGGAAGAGCATTTCCTACGTCACCGAGAAGGTCACTGGCAAGATTCTTTGGATCAACTTTGACGAGACTTCAATAGCATATTCCCCAATTCCGGGCTGGGTGGCATAGTACACGCGACATAGCTTGGAATAACCATCCAGAATTGCCACCCATGAAGATCGAAATGGATCGCCGGCGCGGCGCTTACACATACTGCGCTCTGATTTTGCATTGCTCCAAGTATAACAACCTTTCTTCCTCATTTCTTTGATTAGCTCCCAGAACTTGGCTACCGAGCCTTTTGGCTGAGAGCGTACAACGCTTTGCCTCGTACGCAGCTTCCAAAATTCATTCGTGCACGTCATCGTGGGTCACAGCTGATTGCATGCTGTTGATTTTTTTACAAGCCGGGAAAAAGGCGCTCATGCCTTTTGCTCGCAGGCATCTCACCAGTCATAATGTTGACTGCGCGTGCCCAGCGACCTGCCGAACAACTATTTTCCAGTAGCCGGCCACGCGACATGGATTTCAAACCAAACTATATATCCCAGCACTACAACCAGTTTAACTCCAGCCTTTGGACGTCTTCGCCTTTTGGCGCTTCAAGTCGTACTTGCGTCAGAAGTACCGAGAACAGAGGCAGACAGCTGCAGAGGGGCAGCCAGACCCATTGGCTTGGCTTTGGCAAATTTCGCAAGCACACAAAGAGTGCTTTGCATGCCACAACTGGTCGGGGGCCTTCAAGTCTGTCGGGACCTCCCGGGATGTTTCACATTTACACTCAGCCCTGGCTTCTTTTATGGCACACCCTGTTTCTTTTCCTGCGGCGGTGAAACCGACCAAGGAGGAAGTGCAAATGATCTGGCCGAAGCGGCGAAAGATGGGCTACGCTTATGCGAGCCTGCTTTAAAAAGCTGCTGTTCAGCAGATTGTACTTAGTGAAGCAGGGCATGAAAAGCTGAGATGCGAGTTTGCGTGAGCAAGCTGGGGCACTGTTGTGTGTGTGTGTGCGTTAATTGCCGCACTGCAAGGGTCCATCATATTGAAGCTTCAAGTGTGACCGTTTTTGGGGCTCTCAAACCAGCCCCATTTATGTTGCAGTCCCAAGACAGCATCAGACTTGTGGACACATGCTTCGACGCAGCCTTTTTCAGACTCACAGATATTGCTGCTTCGCAGTTCAGTCAACATGTCTGACACAGCAAATGATGAAAGCGCAACTGGCAATGGTGCAGACGGAAGACCTGATGGCGCGGCTGTGCCAGTGCGCGCAGCTGTGCCAGATCAGCTGCCCGGCTTGCGTGCTGAAAGGCAGGTTTTAAAGCAGCAGCTGAAGGCCGCCACAAAGCAGATATGGAATGAGGTCAGGTGTGTGCATGTGTGCAAAAATCAGCCGTAGGTGTGACAAAGGCACCCGGTTTCATTCATATGTTCGAAATTTTGCAATCAATCTTGGATTCCAGCTTGCCATTGGT